GAAACCATAGAAAGAAAAAAAAAAAAAAGTAACATCATGAAAAATATTGCTATGTGAGTTGCACCTGGAAGGATTTTTATGTGCAAGCTGAACTATCTTCCCCCTTGCACCTGCCCCACTGCACCCCCTGACAAAAAGGCCTGTTCAGTTATGTCATTTTGTGCCACTGAAGCAGGTCCTTCGTATATGCTTAATTTTATGGGACGCGGACTACTGAACTTGTATTAATTTCTACTCTGTAATAGGAGAAAAAATAATCCCTAAGCAACAAGCTATTAATAATGGAATATTTGTTATATCTCAAAAATGAAGATCTTCCAGCTACTGTGATTTAAAAAAAAAAAAAAAAAACTCTATTTGATACTATTCTTTGCAGCTTGATCTGGCAAGCTGATTTAGGGCTGGAAAAACTCATAGATTTTGAATGGAAGCCACCGTCTGTGCTACGCAAGCATTTATCCTTACACACTCCTTGGAAGAAGTTTTTAGCTAGTTATTTAGAATAGCAGCTTCATCCGTGTTGCTTTTGCAGTAAATAAATGTCATTTAACTCATGGCCAGTAATACTCACAAAGTTGGGCTTGCGTTTTCTTTCAGCAAATAAGTTGCTCTGCAGAACCGTTTTCTTATGCAGTGTGAAGATGTGCTTTTGAGAAAGGGAATGATACCAAAAAGAATCACGATCTCCTTAGGATCCAACACACAGAGTTATGAGCCAATTAAATATATTAGACCTTCTGTTTCAGTTTGCGGTGTCACAGGACCAAAGCAACACAATTTTAGTGTCTCTTTACATCTACTTGCTCCATTCTGACTCTCTCGTATAGTCTACCAAAACCTACCAACCCTCTTGACCTCCAAATAAGCACGCCAAAACCAAACAGGTAATCCCACCAGCATGATGCAGAGGAAGTAATAGATATTAAAAATAATATACTCAATATAAATACATTTTTTTTAAATAAGACTATACAACATACTTTCCTACAGATATCTATCTCTTTTACAGCCAATAACTATCTATACTGCTCTGCTCAACAGCAACTAAAAACCTCCTCTGGAACCTTCCAAATAGTTCTCTCTAAACACTACACAAAATTATCTAATTAAACTTGTCTTTCTTTCTTTTTTTTTCTCCTTTTTATTTTACAGCTAAATACCTAAATACTTACTCTAACCAGAAGTAATACCTTTTCTTGCAAACTTTTCACATATAGCTAGCACATGTTTTGCATTTAGCCAGCAAGCAATTAGCTTTGCGGTAATACTGGTAAGGTTTCTAGCCGTTCATTTACTTGACACACATATGCTGATTGGGATTAAATGAACCGTGCTTTGATTGAGAAGGAATGCTCTCTAATTGCTATCTAAGGCTCAGTCTTGATTATTTTTATATTTATATATTTATTCCTGAGCATATCTGTATCAAGGTAATTTTTTTTTTCTCTATCTGGCGCATTTAATGATTTCTACTCGTTTAATGAAGCAATTTTTTATAGTGCTTTCAGCAAGGCTTGTAGATATGTTTTTGCATTTTGGCTTTTGTTTTTAAATATCTAATTTTTGTATTCTGATGATCTTTCATTCTAACGGTTACCAAGTTGTGCTAATTCGTATCTCAAAATATTTGTCTTTCTATCAGTTTTATATGTGGGTTACTTCCTCTGTATTATTTTCGTAATTTATGATGTGGGATTCCAGAGAATTAATTTTTATCGCTCAGCTGACTCTTTGATGTAAGCTATTCCGTATTTTGGTCTATAAAAGCTGTTGCTGTGATCTTTGTCTGAGGTGCCCTTGCTTAGTTTATTTCTAGTAGGGATATTCAAGTGGCAAAACAGCTGCTGCTGTGACTGGGGTTGATGGAGTATTAAAAGATGTCTTTTAATCTTTGGCTTGATTTTACTTATAGAGTTACATCATATAATTAAATTAAGAGAATCTGCCCTGTGATTCTATGAGCGTTCTGCTTTTCTCCCAGTTTTCATGTGGTGTTACATGCTGTTCTGCAACATATTTGTCTTGCAGCCTATATAAGGGGCTTGTAGGTCAGAAAGTGCTTGCTTTTTTCCTCTCTAAGCAAGCAGTCAGTTATGAAATATCTTGTGTGATGTTAATTAATTGCTTTGATTGCTACCATGATCAAAGTCGTCAGATAAATGTATTTTTAACATTTTTAGTGGACACTTAAGAAAGATCTTGATAATCCAGTCTTTATTGGAGAATGATTTAAATGTTCCTACTGACCCTGTGCCACGTGCTCTAGGTGTCCCTGCTTGAAGAGGGGATTGGACTAGATTATCTTTGCAGCTCCCTTCCAACCTCAACCATTCTGTGATTTCAGTAACTGGTGCAACTTTTATGGCTTTATAAGGTCAGGTGATTAGACTCACTGTATCCTCCCTATATCTACTATTAGACTCATTTTTTGGTGATACCCATTGATCATGTAAGAGATGACAGAGACAGAAGGGCGGTGGTGCTGTGATGACTAACAAGAAGTTTTTGATGAGGCACCTGGCCACAAACCCAACTAAAATACTTCCCTTCAGTTCCCTCATTGCCAGATCTGTATGGTGCAAAAGCATCAGAATAGCTCATCTAGAAGAGGATAGTGGGTATGACCCATATTTCACTACTGTCAAAACAAGATATAAGGGTTTGAAATTACAGTGTACACAACAAAATGCGTACTGTCAGGATGAAAGAAAAGGTATGTGCGAGGTGCATTTATGTGAAATTTCAAGTAGAATTTATACTGCAAAGTGTCCTTACAAGTGGCTCTTGCACACTATCAGCGTTTTTCTCCCTTAGGTGGTGGAGGAGACTGTTTGGCGGGAAGCACACAGACCTCTCGTGCTTGCAGTCGCCTCAGGAGCCCCGGGAGATGGTTCCGTCTCTCAGAGCTTGCTGACTCAGGCTTGCCCCCTCTCCTGCGACTTGCGCTTCACTCCAGCTGCCTCACAGTGCTCTTCCCCGTGACCAAAGATGATTGGTTTGGGAACTGCCTTCCATCCTTCAGTTCTTATCAGTTTTCAGTAGGAAATACGTAGCTAATACCAACTTTGAAGTGTCTTATCGGGAATTCAACAGTATTTGATGTTTGAGAGCTGTAAGGATTGTAAGGTGCTAGTGTCATCCATTTCTTCCTTTCCCCTTCCACCCTCCCTCTCCCCTTGCACTGAAAAAGCAGCAAACTTGCAACTTGAAGCCTCCTCCCCTTCTTTTTGAATAAGCTGACATAACCATTATCTCTTGCAAAAGGTGTTGTACTGACTTGAGCATGTTTGCCTAAAAATTCTGTAGAAATAAATGATTTTGACAACCAAACATTTGATATCTACCCTTCAGCAAGGTTAAAAAGAATTGGGAGCATTATTTAGCTGTCATTACATTTTTATGTATGGTCATATGCTCCATTTCTTTAATGTTTCAGAAAGATTTATCAAATAAGGCCCATAAGCTGCTACAGGGCACACCAGTTTTATTTTGGATTATGTTATTAGTAGTGTATTCTCTTTTTCTAAGATTTCCATGGGTGCATTCTAATAAGAGTATATTTTTTTCTAAAATACTTTATTTTGCTTACAATTAACACACAATAAAAGGAAAACAACCTTAAATTAGCTGACATGAGACAATGTATTTCTTTAACCTAAAGTTAATAAGCTGTAAGTTATCATAGCTACATTAATTGTATCAGTGTGTTTTTGGTGCACATATATATTCTAAGATGTTTTCAATTATTCATCTGTTTTATACAAATAAATAGTCAAAACATTAATAAACATTT